TTTAAACAAGATGAAAAGAAAAAGCAACCCTAACCCTAGATAATTCTGTTTGCAGAGTGCCACAGCTGGAAGCTTAGGAGTGCAGAGTATCCTCCGTGCAGGCTTAGTTGGAGTCAGCAGAGGCTGCCAAGAGGTGTGTGCTGAGTTTTTGAGGGCTTCTTTCTTTCTCTGCAGCCGCAGGTGGATGCTTGTGTTTCCCAGTGGTGCCGGGATTAGGAGGAAGAAGCTTCAGGCAGGCTAGGAAGGTGGGCAGCCTGTTTGCCGGGTGGGATCTGTGTGCCCCTTCCAGAGTAGGACTGTCAGCATCTAGACAAGAATCTGGTACTGGTTTGGCCATAGTGATTTTGGAAGTGTACTTAAACAACAAAACCAAACAATAACTTTTTTCTTTTCTGATTACCAAAGAATTACTGTACAGAATTTGGAATATATAATAACAAAAAATGGCTAGTATTTATAAGGCTCTTACTCTCAGGCACTGTTTTGAGAGCTTTACATTTATTAACTCATTTGAGCATCACAGCAGGGCGATGAGATGGGCACTGTCATAGTTCCGCTTCACACGTGAGGAGACTCGGCACGGGCGGTCATGTGGCTGTCGAAGGCACACAGGGAGTAGCCCGCAGGGCTGCGTGGCTCTAGGCTCCTGGTCTCCAGGTCCATGCCCCTCAGTATTAGGCTGTGCTGCCTCCTTGCAAGTAATGTTACCACCTGAAGATAACCACTAGTAATATTTTTACATGTTTCCTTTTAGTCTTTCTTCTATGAAAAAAATCTCTTACAAAATTGGGGTCCTAGTGCATGTACTTTTTTGGACTCTGTGTTGTTCAATATTATGCTGTGAAAAAATTTTATTATTTTTCTATAGTATTTAATATTTTTCAGAATGTAATTTTTATGGCTTCCTAAGATTCTATCCTATGGACACGCACTGATTTATGTAAGCAGCCCCCACTGGCGGGCTGTCAGGTCATTTCCAGTTTGGTATTAGTGTCATTCATGCTGTGGTGAGTACCAGGCACACTGCTCTGCCAGAGTCCTGGCTTAGTCCTTTAGGATAGCTTCTGAGGAAGGTCGTCGGACATTGGAATTTCTCAACGTCTCTTGTTACAGAGTGCTAAATTGCTTTGCTGGCAGGGTGTTTTAGATCACCCTTCCGTTTGGTGAAGTAAAAGAGGCACCGGGCAGGATTTGGGGCTCAGTATCCCCGTCCCAGGTGGGCTGGGGAGCTATGGGCACAGCTCCGTCATCCTTACAGCACAGAACGGAAATGCCCTCCCGTGCCCCAGGTGTCTGGGTTTGTGGGTCGGTAAGCAGGGCCTCAGGAGCAGGGCCACTGCTCTGCCGCAGGTGCCGCTGTGCCAGGTGCCGCTGTGCCAGCCGTCAAGTCACCGCGGCCGTGAGGCTGGGCATTCAGAAGCATGCGGTGGGGTTAAGGCAGTTACTGCTGGTCCCTGTCTCCAAGGGTGCCCTGCACACATCAGTGGGTGACAGTGGCCCTGTAGGGTGAGCGCTAGCCCAGGGTGCCTTTCTGTCACTCCGTTCTCTCAGGTGGTGGCAGGAGGGAAGCTGGGGCCACTGTCCTTGCCATGTCGCATTGCTCGCTGTGCTCTAGTTCTGGTGACTGGGAAGGGGACTCTCACTCCCTGTCTGCTTTTTTACCTGTGAAGCGGGCCAAAGCAACAAAACACCCTGTATGATGGGACAGGAGTCTAAGTAATTAATATTGTGGGGAAAAAAGTCTTGGGGCAATTACATTTTGAGTCATTCATTTGTTCAACAAATTTTCATGGTGCACATACCACACTCCAGGCTGTTTGGGCTCTGAGAATGCAGCATGGGCACAGCGGACAAGGGCTCCTGTTTCCAGACACATCTAACATATGGGAAACATACTAATCCAAGGTAATTGAATAGCATCATCCCTGTATACATCTGTACAAAAACCTTTGAAGGCCCCCCAAAATTCTTTTTTTTTTTTTTTTATTTCGGCCCAAAATTCTTTTTATAAAGAACTTTTATAAAGAACTTTTTATAAAGTTCTTTTTATAAAGAACTTCCGTGTGGCAAATGTGTTTTGAACACCTACTAATAACCACTGTACTAGGATTTCTTTTTTCTTTTTTTGGAGATAGGGTCTTGCTTTGTTGCCTGGGCCTGAGGGCAGTGGCATGATCGTAGCTCACAGCAACCTCAAACTCCTGGACTCAAGTGATCCTCCTGCCTCAGCCTTCCAAGTAGCTGGGGCTACAGGTGTGAACCACCATGGCTGGCTAATTTTTCTATTTTTTGTAGAGACGGAGTCTTGCTATGTTGCCCAGGGTGGTCTTGAACTCCCGAGCTCAAGCTCTCTTCTTGCCTTGGCCTTCCAGAGTGCTGGGATTATAGGCATGAGCCACTGTGCCTGGCCTGTAGTAGGATTTCTGAGGCCACAAAACTGAGTCCTGCTCTCAAGAGCTTGTGAATTGTTTGGAGAATAAGAGAAGGACTTCGGTATCAGAGTTTAACTCATCTCAGGCGTTCATGAGCTGAAGCAGAGGAGGGGCTGCACCAGTGTTTGGGTCCCCGCAGTGGCGTGCCAGGCCTTTGTGGCACTCTGTGCCCTGTCTGCAGCCTGGCCTGCTCCCCAGATGTAAGCAACCTGAAGGATCTCCATCTTCCAGCTGGGTATCTGTTTGTAGTCAGGGCCAGGTCTATTTTTCACCTCAAAGGCAACTCTGCTGTCACACTTAGAAAGCTAAAGTGCTGACTTTGAATAAACTTGAATTATTCCCCAGCTGGGGCCTGCAGTTTAGGTGTGCCATCCCCTCGTGGTGATAGGTGCCTTAGTTCAACTAGCAAGAGGTCGAGATTTCCCTCCTCTCTATGCTTGGGAGTGAGTGGAGGAAGGATTTTATTGGTGTGATGTCTTATTTTTGGTCGAAGGTTATGGTTCAGCCGTGTGTGTCCATCCGTGTGTTTTCTTCCTTGCTCTCTCTGTCAGTGCGGAGAGGGCATTGCGATTAGGGCCCTATACCCATGGTAACCCTGGCCGCTTGGGCGTCTGCAGATGGTCTGCTTCCAGTGGGGCTCCCTGCCAGCTAGGGTTCTTTCCTTACAAGTTTCCCTGTAAAGAACAGCGGAGAGGTTAGTTTGCTGGCACACTAGAAGGTGCGAATGCTGGTAGCTTTTCTAGTTTTCTGCTTTTCCAGTTGGCTCGGGCTCCTGAAATGCTCCAGATTCTCTGCCTCCCACCACCTTTGCCCCATCACCAAAGGCAGGTGGGATGTGGCATAGAAGAGAGATGGTTTCATGTATGGGTGCCCGATTGATTGAGTTGTGAAGGTGGCCACAGATGTCCTTGGCCCCTCAGTGTCTCTTTGTTTCGGAGCAGATTTGCAACTGTGGATGTGGGGCCTGTTCTGAGTGTCCCGTCTCCTCTGAATTGTGTCCGTTGCAGGGTGAGGGAAGAGGAAGGTGGAGAGAGTACGAGAATGCTGCTGGAAATAGTGCACAAATGGTCCAGGTGAGAGGAAAGGGAGTCAGGTGCATAGCAGCATGGGCGACACATCCAGGAACCCGCTGGGTGCTCACCCTGGTGAGAAGGTATCCGTCTCAGCTGGATGTCCCAGGGCTCTGTCACTGGGCTTGGGGGAAGCACAGCTTCTGTATATGCTCACTGAGAAGAAATTAATTTCTCATTCAGTTGTCAAGACTATTAGACACTGAAAAAGGACTTTGGGTTTCTACATTGTTTGTTGGATGTTAGACTCTCTTATGCTTTGAAAATATGTCTTTTTGCACAGAGTGGTTAATTCCTGATCAGAAAATCCACCCACCCATCAACATCTGAATCAGTTCTTGATTGCTTTTTTAAAAAGTTTTTTCACAGTTTAGAATTATGTGCCCTGTCAGTACTCCTGCTTTTCACGCCTTATTCCTCGCTGTGCTCTTCCTGTGGGACTGCCTCTTAATACAGACCGTGTTGTCCAGTATGTGGTCACATGTGACTGTTACATGTACATTAATTAAAAATTAAGATGTAAAATGTACCTTGTCAGTTGTATCAGCTGTATTTCAAGTGTTCAGTAGCCACATGTGGCTGGTGAATGCCATGCTGGACAGCCCAGAATTGTAGGCCATTTCCGTTACTGTGTAAGTTGTATTGGACAGTGCCGCTCTAGACTGTATGTCTCAGTCAGGGTTCAGGCTTATAACAGAAACTGCTATAGCCATAAGAGGGAAGATACTTAAGATAGGAATTTAAGGGCTTATAAATAATTGATTCTAAGCTGGGCCTGCAGGAAGGATTCCCAGAACAATACCAGAGAACAGGCCTGCCAGGGGAACTGTGCCTCTGGTCTAGTTAGGAAGGAAGCTGGACATGTGGACATCACTGTGCCAGGGCTGGCTTCAGGATCACCCCACTGTACCCACAATCCAGGGATCAAGAAGCCATTGGCAGGGGCTTGGCAGCTCTATGCCAGTGGAATAGATACCCTCCCCACCTGACTTATCTTCGATTCAGTTCTTGATGGGCCAGTCCCAAACTTCCATCAGGAATTCCAGCTACAAGGGAGGTTGGGAACTGTTGTTTTTAGCTCTCCAGTGTCTGCAGCCGGGATTGGTGGGATACAGTAGAAGGAGGCTGGAAGAGAGATTGAGTTAGCCAGTCCACCAGTCTCTCACCTGCCCTGCACCAGGCTGCGGGAGGAGCGAGATGAGCTCGGAGAAGTGGGCCCAGGCCAGCCTATGCAGGCTTCATCAGCCGTGGCAAAGAGTATGGATTTTGAAGGGCTTTGACATGGGCAATGATGGGGCCTGATTTACATGTTCTAGTTCTGAAAGGTCACTTGGCTGCTGCATGGAGATCGGCTTGGGGATAGACAAGAGCGGAGATGAGGGAAATGTCAGGGGGCTGCTGCAGCATTTCTGGGCAAGAAACAGATGGTGGCTGGACTAGGGTGGTGGCCTGGGGGTGGAAATCCTGCTCAGAACCCCCCCCCCCCACACACACATTTGAGAAGTGGAGGGCCTGATGGCTTGAGCACAAATCTGTTCCTTAGGGCACAGATGGACTTGCTCCAGCGAGTTCTTTCTTAATGCCCTGTGGTCTACCTTCAGCTGCATTGTGGCATAGTTATCAATACAGTCATTTACAAATAGATGCTGAGCATTTTCTGGGATATGGCCCTGGATTCGATGCATGGATGGAAATGGATTAAAGAAAAAAAGTCAATTGTTTCGCCACTGAACACCTTCCAGGTCCCCAGCACCAAGCCTCACTCACAGGGGACACCAAGGAAGCATAAGCTATTGTCTCCTGACTCGGACTCCTCACTTGGACCCTGGCAGAGCAGAATGGCATGAGGCTGACCAGTCTGTGCCAGGGTCTTGCCCTCATCCTGGTCCCTTGGAGAAGTAGCTGCACCTGTGTGCAGGAGGAGCTGGGCTATTTGACAAGCGGGAATCCTTTTTTCATGTCCAGGGACATGATCACTGCTGTGGCACCTACCTGCGTGTGTGGCTTGATCTGCTCAGTGTCTGCTCTGGGGCTCGTTCAGCGGTGGGAGCATCCATGGAAATAGCCCAGTCAGGCAGAGCCAGAGCAGACTTAAATGGTGGCATCCTTTCAGCTGGCAGCCAGGAGACAGAGCCTTGAATCAGCTTTATAATTTGAAAATTGGTCTCTTTGCATCGAGTGGTTATTTTGTGTTAACAAAAGCCATCAAGGACACAATGCCGCCTGCCCTGCCTTCACGGCTCTACTCTGGATTCAAAATTAGAGAGCCAGAAATGGAGGTTTTCCACTCCTGGGGTTCTTGGGTAGTTGTGCCACCTTGTTGTGGGCGACCCGGAGATACAGAGTATCAGGTCTGGGTGGGGAAACTGACTTAGAGAAGGGAGGTCCTGCTGGGTCGTGCAGTACAGCTTGCCTGGAGGCCAGCCCCAAGAGGCCACACCTGTCTCACTGTGTATGGCTCTGTGTTCCCTGTGGCAGGGCCCTTGGTCATGTCGCAGGGTATAGGGATGCTTGGAGCTGCCAGGACCAAAATACTGAAGGTTGTTTTCTTGTCCTCTGGCTAGGGAGAGGTTGACATTCCCTTTTTCCCCATGGGCCTATTCATATGAGCTTTCTCCAGATGGTGTGCTCCAGAGAGGTCCTTGTGCTCTGGGAATGGTTCACAATATAAATAAGGTAGGTCCCCCATGGAGTGGAGGGGTTCGGAAGTCAGCCTACCAAGACCTGGTTGGCGGAACTGCCCTCTGGCTCTGTGCAGGCAGCTGCCATCTTGCTCACCGTGAGCCGCTGTCTCAGGCGTGGGGCAGGTGCTCCCTGCACACGGCCTTCCTGGGCAAGGTTCTCTGGCCCGGTCCTTCCTGCCCTCGTCCCAAGTGCTCTCAAACTCCAGGGACTGCTTGGTTTGGGGACCTGGCAGCCCATATGAGAGGGGATTAAGGGCGATGCTTGGGGCTGGGAACAAAGATTGGGGTCTGGATACAGGAATTGTGAATGGGAATCATGGTCTGGGAGGGCTGACAGCAGGGCCACAGGGCTGCTTTTATGTATAATGTGTGAGGGAGAAGAAGTTAGTCTAGGAACTAAAATAGAGTCTCTTAAATTTTGTCAATGCCAAACTGAGAGTCTAAGAAGGGAAAATTATATACCAGAGATTGAACAGAGCAAAATTCGAGTTCCAGCCTTCTCTGGTGACCCAAATAAGACAGGAGATCAGGCTGCTTTGGACTTGGTCACGCCCATGTGCAAATGGAAACAGGGACACTGTCCACTTCTGTTCACCCCGGAGGTGTCCTGAGGGTTAGGGCAGGGGCTGCTGGCGTAGTGGCGCTGTCTCGTGAAGGCCGCATCACGTGTAAAGGTGTTCTTGGGTGAAGCGCAGCCTCCTTCCGTCTCAAGGTGCATGGAGACCCGGCAGGTGTGGACTTTGTTCGTCACCACATAGGTGAGCACGCACGTGTGTGTGCGTGTGGTGTATGTGTGTGCGAGCGACTGGAGGAGGTGGGAGTCTAGTCTAGCAGTTGACCGTGAGTCCTGTGCTTGCTGCAGAAATCTTCCATAGTCTCACTTTGTGACCTTTAATGAGTCATGCATACCTTGTTTTCTTATGTGTTAAATGGAGATACTCACGCTTGCTGTTTCTTCAAGCAGTTCAAACCCACTCTTGTAGTTTTTTTCCTCTGGGTCTTACAAGAAAGGTTAATAAAGTCCCAGCCATTTTGGGGTCTCCTTGCTTTATGCTTCAGATCCCCATGGTGGGTGCTGCCCTGCCTTCATGGCTCTACTCTCTGCTGGGAGGTCAGGGACAGGCTCTGTGGGAGATTGTGGGACGTGCCAGGTTCTCCAAGAACCTGATGTTCTAGTTGATGTATTTTGTCCCTGGGGAGGCAGTGCTGCCTGGAGCAACTGTGGCAGAGAAAAGGAGGTGGGTGAAGGGAATATATCGTGGGTTGGACGTCAGTGTCACATTGAGAACGTGGCCATGGATTGGTATAGCAAAGCACCAATATTCCAGGCCCTAGGGGGCAGGAGCATGGCTGTAATGCCACAGGGACCAGATGGCAATAGTGCAGGATGCAGCTGTCACAGACAAGAAGGCAGCTGATTGCTGCTCCTGAGGAAGACCTGGTGTGCTCCTCTGGGATCATCAGGGTGGTAGGTGCATGGCAGGTGTGATACGGTTCCCTACCCTTTGTGCCATGGCAGGCATCAGTGGTCTGCCATGGTAGGCTTTCCTGCAGTACTCAGAGCAGCTCAGACTCCTTTCAGTACAGCATTTGGACAGTATGGTCAACCAGTTGGCACAAAAGTTGAAACTTATTGTCTGTCACTGGTGTGATGGAAATGACATAAACTTTGAAATCTGGCAGAAGTGACAGCCCAGCCAGGTACAAGCTTTGGACACTGAGCAAGTCTATTAGGCCTGTTTTGGTTGCAAAGGACCTAGCCTCAATTCGGATTCGCTTAAGCTAAGTTACTTAGGTAACTTCGTCATCACAGCGGGTGGGGAAGATGACCTGGAGAAGGGAGGCTCAGCTGGGCTTTACAGTACAGCCCTAGTGGAGCACCCCCCACCAGAGGCCACACCTGACTCACCTGCCTGTGGCTCACCTGTGTGTGGCTCAGAGTAGGCTGACCTCAGGCATGGCTGGAGAGGAATCTGCGGTTGCTAGAGCTCTGTGTCTGGGGCAGACTCTGCGGTGGAAATGTCCTGAGTGGCTGAGCTGGGCCATATGCTCTTAACAGCTTCCTGTGGCAGGTGGGGTAGGGGTGAGGGTGATGGGATCTAGAAAGCAGGCTACTTTGGAAGCAAAGCTATCTTGGAGGTCAAGTATAGGAGGTTCAGCCCAGGATAGTGGGGAGGTGGCTGGGAGAGGTGCCAAGTGCTCGCCTATGTGCTAGTGAGCCACAGAGAATGAAGGGGACTGGCAAGACAGTTTGCTCTGGGCCCAGTGGTGTCCCTGGAAGACCGGGGAAGGTCATTGTGGACAGGCTTGGAAGTGTTGTATGTGCCCCTGGTCTGGCTGTTCTGGCCACAGTCTCCCGGACAACTCTGGAGTGGCATCAGATGCCAGGCTCACTGCCCGCGGTGCATCCCACCCTCTGAGGCTTTTCTTGACCCGTCTGCACTTGGCCTACTGACTAGCGATACCATCTCAAGGCCACGTATCTGTTCCGGGAGATTCAGGTTTGGGCCCAGGCCGGGCTGATCCCTTGGCAAGCCTTGCGGATTCCAGGGTGAGGCACCAAGCCTCACATGCCTGTGAGCAGGTGTGGTGTCTTGGGGATGGTCTCAGAGGCTTCATTGCCTTGAAAGCAGAGCAGTGCAGCTGTCCCTGCTCAGGTGGGCCCCTCTGATTTCACTGGTTCCTGCCAGTCTTCCTTCCAGAGAGTGTCCTACTTCCCCACCCCGTCAGCTCCTACCCTCCACAGTTCCTTTCCCTGATGTCCAGTGCTGTACAACGGATCACCCCAAGACAAAGTGGCCCCCAACAGCAAACCCCTTGTTTTCTTGCTCTCAGTTTCTGTGGGTCAGGAATTCAGGAAGTTCCTGATTTGGGGCAATTCCGGCTTGAGGTCTCTCATGAGGGGCAGCCAGATGACGGGGACTGGAGTGGCTGGGCCGGCAGGACTCTCCATGGAGGCTAGTTTGGGCTCCCTCACGGCATGGCGGCGCAGGGCTGTGGGTGCCAGGTGCCTCCAGAGCGGCCTCGTGAGAGTCAGCCTGACGCAGCGTGCCCTTTTCTGACCCACCCTTGGAAGTCCCCTAGTGTCTTCTGAGGTACTTTCTTGGTCAAAACAGTCACCAAAGGCCAAGCTCATTTTGGGAGGAGGGGGCCTAGATCTTTCTCAGTGAGAGGGATGCCAGATGTCAGAGGATTTGCTGACATGGTTTAAACTGTCCTAACGCCTCTACCCCTGCCTATGCAGACAACACTTAATGCCCAGACGGGTTTGAGGTAGCTGGATGTGACCTTACTTTGGTCCAAGCTCCTCATTTTATTACAGTTATTTTTGTTTTTTGGAACTCAGGTGCAGAGTCGAGTGAATCATACTCTTCATTGTTCCTTCGTCACCGTTGATTCACGCAGTGAATGGCCTCTTGTATTCACTCGCTCACCTGTGATTCCTCCCTGTCCCATGTCTTACTCCCATTTCCCTCCCCACAGCCATTCTATTCTATTTAATGAACATCCTTTCATCTGTGTGTGTTTGTATACGTGTGTCTTAACTAACAGCTGATGCACTGTGTTTTATCTTTTCTATGTCCCCCTTTCTCGCCGGCACTGTGCTGCCAAGGCCCCTCTGTGCTGTGATGCCTGCATCTCAGCTCTTGTCTGCCCAGAGAGTGGGGGACGTGTCCAGGGTCACCCAGCTGAACCAGGGCCGGAACAGACTTCCTGGCTTTCTTTCCTCAGCGTGCACACTTATGTTTCTGTGTGCTCCCCCCCTACCTCCTGCGATAGCTTGAAATAAGGTTTTTCAAAAGGTTTGAGTCTGGGGTCCAAAGGTTGTCACAGGTGCTCCTGTTTCCTCTCCAGTAACTGTCATCCCTTTTCCTGTCTCGCTGCAGGTTCCAACTATGGGAGCCCGCGCCCCGCTCATGCCAACATGAATGCCAATGCGGCCGCAGGACTGGCCCCTGAGCACATCCCCACCCCGGGGGCGGCCCTGTCCTGGCAGGCAGCCATCGACGCGGCCCGACAGGCCAAGCTGATGGGCAGTGGTGGCAATGCCACCGTCTCCACGATCAGCTCCACACAGCGGAAGCGGCAGCAGTACGGAAAGCCCAAGAAGCAGGGCAGCACGACTGCCACACGCCCACCCCGGGCCCTGCTCTGCCTGACCCTGAAGAATCCTATCCGGAGGGCGTGCATCAGCATCGTGGAGTGGAAATATCCTTTGTGCTCTGAGCGGGGCAGGGTGCTCCTGGGCCCACAGCCTGGGGCCAGCCCCGAGGCTTACTGGGCAGTGGGGCGTGTCAGCAGTGCTGAGCTATAATGGGTCCTCAGACCTACTGTGTCTGCATCACTGGGGTGCTGAGAAATGCAGAGGTCTAGGCCCTGCCCTAGACTGGATGAATCAGAATCTCTGGGGACAGGACAGGGCCCAACAATCTGCTTGTATCACAAGCTGCCTTCCCCCCCATATAGTAAGCAACATTTGTAAAAACGAGGCTAGGAGGTTATGAAGTGCCATCTGACATAGCTTGTGCAGGGATTCACTCATGTGTAGGGTTAATAGTCATCACGTGCTGCTGCTTAACTATCTTTCCCTCCTAAGCCCTGGCGCTGGGATAGTGTCCTGGGTGAAGGAGCCCAGGAGGTGCAGCAGTAGCCTTAGTGACTTTAGCTCTTGGCTCAAGGGTGTAGGAGCATTGGCTCTTGTGAGAATTTCCTGGAGGGTTTAACAGACTATAGACGACTGAGCTCCACCCAGGCCATTTGAAACCCTCCAGGCCCTGCCTGGTAGCTCATGCCTGTAATCCCAGCACTTTGGGAGGATGAGGTAGGGGGATCGCTTGAGCCCTCTAGCCCAGGAGTTCAAGGATACAGTGAGCTGCAGTCGAGCCACTACATTTTCCAGCCTGGGCAACAGAGCAAGACCCTGTCTCAAAAAAATTAAAAACAAAATCCAAAACTAGTGAATGGGACTTTGAATGGCTTTGAAAAGTTGGGCTTGCTCATTGTGGAATTGCAAGCCCCTTAACACTGTAAGGATCACAGGGTTACAGAGGTTGGATAAGACCTTAAAGATCCACAGGTTCACCCTGACTTCCGTCAGTGATGAAATCGAGCCCTATAGGAGAGGCTCTTCCGGGTCACATGGTCAGTAACAGCTGGGACTAGAACCCTGGCACTCACCGCTGGGCATCTTTGCAGTGAGAATTCGTGCAGCCGGCTACCGTGTCCCTCCAGGTTCGGATGGGAATGTTAGGTTTCAATAATGAGTTTCCATGGAGTGATTTAAAAGTCTTAGGCACTAGTTGAAGGAAGATGACCTTATATAAAAGAAAGTTTCTGTTTAGCAAGAAATATTAGTTCTAGAAATGTTTGAGTCTCTCAACTCAAAAGTTACTTTAACAGAATGCAATTCAAAATAAGTAGCTGCTGCCACCTGGCAGTGAGTCCTGGTTGTCCACGGTGGTTTCGTCCCCAGATGGCTGGGCAAGAGGCTCGGCTGTGGTCAGCCCTGTCAGGCTGCTTGCACAGCTGCTTGTGGCAGAATTGTGGTAGGGAAGAGCTGGGGGGCCCTGCAGGTCAGGCATCCCCAGAGAGGAGGACTGTGAGGCCCAGAAAAGCCAAAGAACTTGTCCTAAATCCCACAGGTGGCAGTTGACAGAGCTAGTTTCAAATCCAGATTCCCCTGAACCCTAAATCCATGCACTTCCCACACCCTGTGTGTCCATAGTATTAGGCAGGATGAGGCAGGACTGGAGGTCCTAGGGTGGATATTCAGGGAGTGCGGTGGGACCTGGATCTGGGACCTGAAAGCCCACTGCCTGGGTGCTGCAGCCACCCCTCCTAGGGGAAGGTCCTTTCCTCCTGGAGGAGAGAAAGTGACCCAGCTTCAGCAGTGCTGGTGGGTGGCATTCCCAGATTGCCTAGGAAGGGCGGCTGGGCAGGTACAGAGACAGCCTGCATACTAGCCAGTTTTTCTTGAAAAAGTAGGATCTGACGCTCTCATCAGGAAGAGAAGGCAGTTGAAAATCGGTCTGTCACAGGGTGACACAGAGCACTTCTGGGGCTTACCTGGGTTCTCTGCTTTTTAGCTGGTGGCTTTTCTCATCTGCCTGATTGGTTTCCTTACTCATCATCCCCTCTGGCATAAGTCCTGTACCTCAGCATAAGGTGAAGGATGGTTAGCCTGAACGGAGAAACACCCTGAGCTTAGCTGTAGCCCACTCCGGTGGCAGCAAGCAGACATCTGAGGAGTGGCTGCACGGAGGTCTGGCTCTGCTGCCTCGTTGCACCCTTGCCTTGGCAGGGAGAGCACAGGGCACCAGACTCTGGGCTGAATGTTGCTTTCCTAAGCAGGTGGGAAGAGGTTTGAGAGGCAAGAGTTGGCAGGGCTAAAAGAACCAGCTTCTTGGAAGTGCTTCAGGGTTGCTTTAGAGTAGATCAGGATAGAGTAGTCCTTAACAACTCAGACTGCCCGCGTTTGGATCCCATCCTGCCACTAGCTGTGTGACCTTAGACAGGTTAACATCTGACTGTTCTGTGCCTCAGTTTCCTCATTTAGATAGTGGGGCCAGGGTGTTGTGTAGAGCAGTGAGAACAGAACCTGGCCCTGCGTAAGCTCTGAGCAAACATTAGCTCTGTCCTTGCTGTCATCGTCCCCGGCACCAGCGTCAGCTCCCGCCTTCATGGCTGGCTCCTGTTCAGCATGAGGGCAGGAGGGTGTTAAGAGCCCAGGCAGTTGGTCTGGGTTGTGGTCCTGGCTTTGCTGTTGGCCAGGGCGGGACCATGGGCAGGTTGTTTTACTTTGTGCACCTGTAAAGTTGGGAGGTTGGACGGGTCCACTGTGGGCCACTGGTTTTGCAATGTAGGCACACATAGGAAATGACACCTGTGTGAGCCATGCTGGATATGTGGGGCCTCAGGGGTACCCCTAGGGCTGAGGGGGTCAGGTGCTAAGATAATCACTTAGCCTCCTCCCAGTGCCGGGGTGCACTGTGAACACAAGTCAGAAGGCTGCCTATGGCAGGGAAATGGACGCTGCACTTGGAGGTCAGGAAACTGGGTTCTAGTCCTGGCTGGTCATTGACCTGCTGTGGTGCCTTGGGAAAGTCTCTCAGGCACTCTGGGCCTTGGAGCATTAGACTAGATCATCTCTAAGGTCTCTTCCTCAAAATTTACTAACTTTGTGAGTATGGATTTCCCGGGGAGAATTAAGTGGGTCCTTTTACCCAGTAATTTCCATCCTTCCTCCTCTTTTCTGCTCCAGGCTGGGAGCTTGGCAGTGGGTTGGGTGGGGCCATTCCTGTGAAGCTTCCCCTTTGTGGCCTTCAGTTGTGAGCATGGGATGGGTCTCCTTGGAAGAGGTACTATCATATTAGCTCATTTTCTTTTGAAAGCATATCTTGCCCCTATCATTTGATGGAGAAATCAGTGCACGGACCCTCAGTGTGCACTGCTACTGGGGGGTGACCCTCAGCCTGGCTTAGAGCCCAGCACACAGCAGCCAGGGGTGCAGAGGACCTGGACGCCAGCCTTGGCCACTGGCGGCAGGGCCTCCACAGACTGCAGTGGCTTTACGCGTTCCCCACGAGGCTGAGCCTTGGAGGGGAGGTGGCAGCCCTTCTCCAGATATGCAGTGCACTTCCTGCCATGCTTTTGGGCTCCCAAGCTTCCCAGCCAGGCTTTGGGTTCTCTGGAAGATGTCAGAAAATGAGGGAAAATAAAAAAATTCCACACTTAAGTTTAAAAAATTAAGAATAAAATCTCTAAATTTCAGTGAAAAACATGGAAAGTGGCCCTGTCGTAGAATCCTGTCCCACCTTTGTCTCCTTCCCTGCGGGTGTGGGTCCTCCATGGAGGAGCGAGGTACCGGGGGCAGGCTCTGCTCTTTAGAAGGAACCCCAGGCACACACGAGGGAGAATGAAGTCAAATGCAATCTAAATAAATAAAAGAAGGGGAAAAAAGTTTTTAGAAATCTGTGTTTACTCTGGCACGCGACTGGCCTCCACTGCTTTTGACATATTAGGGAAAAGTTTGGCGGGGACCCGCTAGGAGCACTTAAAAAGGCATGTGTTTCTTTTCAGAGTACAAGGGGCTTGGAATGTGTTGTTCAAACAAAATTCTTATGAATCTTTGATTCATTTTTTAAAAAATACATAGATATATGTTTGTTTCACTTGTGCTTTCTTCAGCATTAACTTCCTTAACTCCCTTCCTCAGACCATTTGAAATAATTATTTTACTGACTATTTTTGCCAATTGTGTGGCCTTAGCGATCTATATTCCCTTTCCAGAAGATGATTCCAACGCCACCAATTCCAACCTGGTAAGTCCACCATCCTCAAGCCTCTGCTTTTTCTACTTGTTGGAGAACTGGACTTGAATCACATGGATTCAAGTTGGAATGTGGAAGAAAAGCGAGATGTGTGTTTGGCATGTACAAAAGCCCTGCAGAGCTCAGATCCTGAGTGCTATTTTGCACTTCATTCAAATCATCACCTGTCTTACCATCCTGTTTTCCAAAAGAATATTCCAGTTAGGTGGTGGTGAGCTGTGTGTGTGTGTGTGTGTGTGTGTTTTGAGTAGCAGATCCTGTTAGTGTTACAGAATGTGCTGCTTAAGTTTTGAGTACAGGTGTTTGCCAGAGTGAGCATTTATTCTTGGATTCTTTTTTGGTATTTAGCTTAAATGCCTTTGTTCCATTGGTAGGGTTTGCTCAGGTGATCTGTAGCATCGCTGCACGATAAATAATTTCTAGGAAGCTCTTAGGAAAGTTTGCTTTTGCAGCCAAGATGTATTGTTGAGTTAAAAAGGCTTTATTTCCTTGGGAAAGGCGACTTTCCATTTGGATTGTTGAGAGGCCAGTGCTGGCAATTTGGGTTTAGAATTTGTCCATGGAAAAAATGGAGAGTGTGTTTACTTTTGGATGAGTGTGAAGTCATTACAAAGGCCTTTGCTCCATCTTGGCATGTGAGGAAAAGAGCTCTGGAATGCACTTGGCAAAATTGGGGCACTCCAGGATGCCTTTGCTACAGGCACGGAGGAAAATCCCATCTCTCCCCCTCCATTGCTTTTCACATGATTTCCACAAAGTGTGTTTGGTCACCAAAGCCATCATCGTCAGCACCTTCCTCTGATTAGCAAGGTAGGAGTGTCTGATCATGGGATTCTCCTTCTTACTGCTGCTGACTGTGGGTGCCCATAGGTAGTTCTTGTTTTGTAACCTTTAACCTTTCGTTTGGCCATTTTAGTAAATAAGTCTGATGCATATTTTAAACTTCTCTGCCATTTTCCAAGTTTTCACAGTTAGCTGCTGATCCAGATCTGTGTTAGGTAAGGTGTCCAGTGTGAGCGAGGCAGCTGCGTCTTATGGCTTGGGGTTGGCTGTGTGCTGGGGACAAGTTCCAAAGGTTTCAAAGCTGGGCGGAACACTGAGTGATGGTGGGTTGGGAGTCAGCGGGCGGAGTGCTAGTGTGGCCTTGTCTCTTAATGGGCAAGAAATGTTTACTGTGTCAAGATAAGTACCTGGAGGCATGTCTCTCCAGAGCAGGACCTCCTTCCATTGTTCCCGCTTCTTCTCTGTGTGTCCGCCTCCTCCACTGCCTCAGGCCTCTGTTGCCCTGTGGCTTAGCACTTAGTCCACACCTTTTAAAAAGGAGCTTTGGTTATAAACAGAATCAATGTTTTGTTCCTAAGCCAGTGAAGCTTTGGGTTACTCTAGGCCCAAGTAGTGGTGAAGTGGGCAGATGGTCGGTTTCTCCTGGGCCCCAGAGCCGGCCATGCAACAGCCCTCACAGCCCATGGTTGCTGGAAGGAGCAGCAGGGCTGCTGGGTTGCTGAGGCAGAGGGGAGCCCTGGGCTGGCCAAGACCTGGTGGCCCTGTACCTCCTGGGGGTGGAGGGGCTGGTGGGAGAGCACAGAGGGTCCCCGTGGATGTATTCAGGAGCTGGAGTTAGGTTGCTGGGTGCGGATGATGTGGGAGGGATAGCACTTCTTAGGGATCACACCACAGAGTGATGCAGCTGTTCTAAAACTATCAATAGGTGGTGGGGACGGTTGCACAAGTGTGTGACTTTACTAAAAATCATTGAATTGTGTACTTACAATGGGGGAATTTTATGCTATGTGAGTGAAACCCTAATAAAGCTGTGGATCTGACTTCTCATCCTCTGCATTCCATAGTGTCATATGTTCCCTGGGGCAGTGATGGCACCGCTGAATGGGGGGATGGGAGGTGGTAGTCATGAGTATTAGAAAACCCCTAGAGGAACAAACAGAAGCTCACTTCAGCTAATAGATCAGAATATTATTCTGCTCCATGGAGATAACACTGTGAGTGTCATGATCTGGGCTCTCCTCTTCCTCGTTCTCTGCAACATCTTTTCTGTCAAATGCTCCTTTTTTGAAACACTTTGACCCCTTGCTTCTTCTAGCTTTTCTTCTTGCTTCTATAGGAACTTTTACCAGATTTCTATCCTGGGCCCTCTGATTTTCTTTTTCTGTAATCTCCCTATGGTGAGCTCATCCCTGTCCACAAATTGAAGTTCCTTTCCTAGGTAAATTATTCCTAAGACCTACATCTCCAGCTCTAAGCTCTTTCCATTAGTGAGGCCTGTGGCCAAGTGTAGTGGCTCCTGAAACCACCTATCATCGCAACCACCTGGAGACCTTAGGCCATACTGAGTCCAGCACTTGGTGGATCTGATTCAGATTTAGTAGTTTGGGGGCATGGTATGGAAATGTACATTTCAAAAAATTCCTCATAGGGGTGCTAATGATTAATCAGATTTGGGAGCTACCGGCCTCTTGAATAGAGCAAAATTAGAGTTAGACAGACCTGAGTTTGAATCTTGGCTTCACTACTTCGAAAGTCTGGATCTTAACCTCAAGTTATTGAGTCTTTCTGAACCTCAGTTCCCTGCCTGTAAACATAGAGGTGATATCACATGAGGGTGCCGGGGAGAGTAGGGCAACAATGAGGGGCCCGGCATGGTCTGGGTGAATAGTTACATGTGCCAGGTGTCTTGCAGAGGCCTTAAACAAGCCCCAAACAGAATTCATCCTCTCTCCCACCATGCAACCTGTCCCCCAAGAGAAAACAGAATCAACCCCAAGGGGACCTGCTCCTCTTTGCCCTTGGCTGGGTGGATGGCATGGCTGGCCTTGCTGTCACTCAGAGTCACCGCTGACATCTTCTTCCCTCTCCACATCCACTGAGCAGGCATCCAGTTCTGGAGATTTTAATTGCAATCTATCACATTTAGCCTCCTTTCTGTTCTCAGAGTCACTTATTAAACCTTCTGTGCCTTTGTTTTTTCATCTATAAAATAGAAATAGTAACAGAGTCTACCTCGTAGGGTTGCTGTGAAGATTAAAGGAGTCAAAATACATAAAGTTCTTAGAAGAGTGCCATGATAGAGGCTAAGTGTTGGGTCCTGTTCATGTTGGGTGTTATTGTTGTCATTGTCGTCATCCTCGTCACTGGACCCAGGCCTCATTGCCTCCTTCCTGGATGCTCCCTCTGGTCTGTCTCTAGTGCCCCTCCCACCGGTGTCCCTCGTGGGCAAGTAGCCATGGGCACACATTCACACCAAGAGCCAGGCACCGTGTTCGGGATACTGCAGGAGGCAGAGCTAGTGACTAATAGGGAGGAGGAACATGTGGACAGATGTTTGCAAATAATGAAAGGTCTCACAGGCGGTCAGGTGTCAGGGAGGAGGGCCTGATTCACGTTGCTGGTGGGAAGGGAGTAAGCATGTTTCACATAGGGTGACATATTTGAGTTGCATCTCCCGGTAAGAGGTGATTTCCAGGCCAAAAGAGACATTTCAGGCTAAGGTGTGCCCACATGCAAAGCCCCTGCAGTTAGTCTCTTCCTGACCTGAGGAAGGGGTGCTGGTTTTGAGGGCGTGAGCAGAGCTTGCTGACCCCTGCACACAGCTGGATGCACTGCGGGGCGTTGGGAGGCCAAAGGCTTTGAGGGCAGGAGACCGTCTTGCTATGCGAGGAAGATGGTGCAAGTGGAGGCCTCAGCTGTGAAGAGCAGGAGATACCTTGTTAGATTCTGCGTGATAGTGACAGCAGGGCTAGAGGGCCGTGGTTTAGGCCCTGGCCTTATGGACGAAGGAGAGGACTGACTCCCAGGATGGTTATATGGGGAACAGGCCAGGAGAAGGACTTCAGGAGGAAGGTCGCACTGAGGGACAGGGAATGATGTGGACAATTAGGGGTTGTTAATGAGGAGCCCATGGAACAGGCAGATGGACATGTCCACTGGGCAGCCAGTAGGGCCTGGAGCCCAAGAGACAGTTCATGCTGAGGATGGAGATTTGGGGGTGACAGGAGGTAGACAGAGAAGAAGCCCTGGGCATGGACCAGAGCTGCTGCTACAGGGCGGAGCCAGACAGGAGGGAAGGGCACGCCACACCCTGGAGAGGGTGGAGGAGAAAGGCTTGACCTGAGAGGTAGGAGGGGAATCGCCGAACGTGCAGTCTCAGACGCTAAGGGAACAGAGTTTAAAAATATAAAAGAAAGACTGGTTGGCAGTTCAAAAGCGTGTTTTTGTGGCAGCTCAAGGCTGATGACAAGAGGGTTGGCCTGAGTACAAGAAGAGCAAAGCTTAAGGCTAAAAGTAGGAGGCTCTGAAATGGCAGGGGCACAATAACGATTTGCCTGAAACATTCCTTTGTCATGCTGGAATGAGACTCTCCAAATCATTTAGGTACCCTCAAAATGAAGCTTGAGAACCACCCTATTAGTTTCATAACTTTGTTTGAAAAATAAGGAGTTGTTGTCTCATAGTCCTGCTCTGAGAAACGGCAGAGGAGCGGTGACTGCCGTGCCCGCAGCTTGCGACCGGCGCAGACGGCAGTGAAGCCCACGTCCCAGGCCCTTCCCACAGGTTCCGGCTCGTGTGTCGGGGGCGGGCTCCCCTGGTGGCTCTGATGCAGGTGGTCCCAGACTGTTCCTTGAGAACAGTGACCTGGGACGGTCCCCTGCATGGGACTGCACCCACCCCAGCTCCCCCCGCAGTCGGCTCTGTCTCCCCACAAGCTCCCCCAGGACTCAGACAGAAGACGGCACACGTCAGCCGCCGAGAGCACTCACTCTCCTGGGCTCGAGAATGAGCTGTTCAGCCAAGTAAGCGTCTTCTGTTCGTGCACACTTGCAAACGCGCGTCTGCGCTTGCTCCTGCGCACACCCTTGCCTTTCTCCCACCTGCTTGATTTAATCCCCGTTTCTTTTTCTAACACTTCGCTTTTTTCTCTTTCTAATAGATGAAAAATATTCCAGAATAGAGTTTTGTTTTTAAGATCTTTCTCTCAT